GCGAGCTACTTGCACATGCATGCTATTTCTCCTCGAGGCACTTCGGTTTGCACACCTTTTTCTTATTTTCTCTTTTTGAGCTGTTTCTTTTATTTGTCTTTTCTTTTAAGTTTGTGTCGTGTGTTAGCTGCTAGTTTGGTTCATTATATAAAAATATTAGGTCCTATTTTGTGACTTCCGGTTTTGTGTTAAAGCAATGAGGTCATTGCCTCATTTTAAGTGTGGGGGAGTCGAATTGGGTTTGCATTCTTACGTGGTGGATCAGTCTAGCTTAGGTTTTTGTTTTGTTGAGCATGTGATATTGGTGAATTATATGAATTGTTGATGAATGTTTGATGAGATTGGGAAGTTGTGATGACAGACGTGTGGTCATTGCCTCGGTATTTGCTTGATTGCTTTGAGTGACATTTATTTACTTGTGAGGTTTTGAGCCTTATGCTTTTCTTGTGAGATATTGGTCATATTCTTGAATGATTAGAACTTTCCTTGAGTTTGTTTGAAAGGAATCAATTGAGTTTGAAATTGCGAATATGATTGAGGCATTTTGTTGATTAGCTCTCTTTTTGCCTTGTTCTTTGGTCCTAAAATTTATTCCACTAATAGCCCTTTGAGCTTAAAACCTTTTCTTGTCAACCTATTGACCGATTTGTGTGATGATTGGGGGATTGGTGGCATTTTTGAATATGGTGGAAATTTGAGTTGCATTTTATTGGCTTGACCTGTTGAAAAAAAAAAACATGAGAGCTCGCAGGACGAATTAAATGGACTCTGCTCCTCTTACTAGTCGATTCACGTTGACGGGTAATGAGCATTGGGAGACTACTGTAGGACACTTGGATGACCTCCAATATTTAAACCTATAGAATGTTGTCCTTTTGATTCGATCTTGTTCGGAAAAAGTTACTCTCTAAATAAATTAAAATAAAAAAAACAAAAAAAAAAGAAAAAGAAAAGAAATTTGGGTCAAGTGATGTTGCAATTCGATTAGAGCACTTAGGTGTTGTTTGTGGAGTTGCATTGGTTGGATGGTGAAGGTGTTGTCATGTTTACGCCAGATTGGTAGCGGAGAACTCAAGCTATCTATTTGCTCGAGAATTGTGATTGTTCATTTGAGTTGCTTTTCTCGCATATATCCTTTACCTTAGCCTACATTACAACCCGTGAAGTCCTCTTGATTCGCAAGTTTTTGAGCTTTGATTGTTTTCGAATAATTTAAACGATTGGCAAGCATATGTTGAAACGTGAATATTGACCAATTTTGAGCGTTCCTATCACTTAATCATGCAATAAAATGAGTGAGGCATACATGATAATCTATGTTTTGAGAGTTTGTCATTTCATGGCCAAGTCGATATTTGAGGCATATGGTCGTATGTTTCATGGAATTCGACTCGATTGAATTGGGCATTTTGAAGCTCTTCTTATTTGAAACCGTATCCATGCTCGTGTCTTGTTTTGTTTTCTTTTTGTTCGGGACGAACAAAGGATTACGTGTGGGGGAGTTGTTTGTCCCATTTTTGTTGCGTTTTTCGTTATCTTTTTGTCTTTTTTTTCCCTCATATTGAGTCTTTTCATTGGGTTTTATTCATTTTTGTAGTTTATTG